ACCTATTAAGGTTGTAAATCGTGTTTTTAAAAAGTTACTAAGTAACTAAGTAATTAATTACTTTTGAAAATAAGTAATCAGTAAAGTAACGGGATTACTTTTTTGGTCAAGTAATAAGTAATTAGTTACTGATTACTTTTTTCAAGTAACTTGACCAACACTGACAGTGAGTAAGGTAAGTAAAGCCCAGTTTCAGTACCTGAGCTATGTCTTGAGGCAAACAAAACTAAACTTTCTTAAAGAGTAAGAAAATGTGTGCATGCTCAATTGTTTCTTGTTGTAACAATAATTGGCAATAAATCTTATACTGGAAAGCCTGTTATTTCCCTTTAAATGGTGCCACATTTGTAAGGAAAATATATCTGTGGGTTGAATAGCAGAGTTGAGTATGTGGGATGAGTCCATAAAAAACTTACCAAATCTTCTCTGCCAATACTAAACACCTTAGTCTGCTATTGACTCTTGCTTTGACAACATGTTCACTGGAAGCTGAAAATGTGGAGGAACCTTATGCGAGTCCAGATTCTGCCTATGGCAGTTGGATCACAGTGTGGAGAAGATGCAGAGAATGCTATGTTCATTGGTAACAGCTTTTGCTGGAGACAGTGTGATTGTGTTCAGCGGCATCTCCCTCACTGTAAAAACAAGATTTATCATCATTGGAGGCCATCTCTATGGCAATCCCATATCTCAACAGTCTGGGACTGAACTTTGACAGTGCTCACCCCCACAGAGTGGAGTTTATTGGACACTACCACCAGAATTTGGAGAGGATGCTATTGCTTACCTGCAGTCCTGATCTCAACCACATTGAACATTTGTGGGATCAGCTTGGACATGTTGCTCAAGCCAGAATGACTAACACAATCACACAGGCTGACTTGCAAAAAAGCTGGTTGAAGAGTAGAATGCCATCCCACAGCAGTGTGTGACCAAGCTGGTGACCAGCATGAGGGGGAGGTGCCAGGCTGTTCTTCCATATGATACCGAGGCCCTTGCTTATTAAATTAACAAATTCTTTATTTGCCAATATGTCTTCAATTATCCAACTCAATAAACAGCACCCAACAAGAGTCAGTAGCAGAATACGTTTTTGTCACTGGCAGAGAAGATTGGCAAGGTTTTCATGGGTATAACCCACATGCATCTTGTGGATCTTCAGAAGTCCATATATAAAGCGTATAGCATCCCCTGTATTATTTGAATGGCTAATGAAGAAAAAGTTCATTTACTGAGTCCAAGAAAAACTGAGCAATGTCATTAAACTTGGACTTATTGCTAAATGTGTGACAAAGTTGATTTATTTCAACAGACTGTTGCCATTTCTGACATTGGTTTAAAATGGGGATGCAGCTGTTAGACTCCCCAGCATAAAGTAGCTCAATCCCTTATATTATTTTTCTTTAAGTACTCCACGATCAGGATTTCAAAAGTTAGTTCTTTTCTTCTATTCATTCTTCTGTTCAGAGACATAACTTTTACCACGTACCACGTTGACGTCGAGTGTCCTCAGTAAGACATCACAACAAGGGCGTAGATTTGGTTTTGGCATTGGTGGGGACGGATGATTCAACCACTGAACTCTGCCCTGTTTCTTTTTTTTTTCCTTTTGGTTTTTGCTTCTTAATAGAAAGAGGAGAAATATACTTGCCTACATGTGCTATTCTACGTGCTTTTAAACCATTTAAAATCACAATTCATAGTTTTATATGTGACTTATATAATGTTAAATTATTATTAAACAAATGACTGACTAAGTATTTTAGTCTTTAGTTTACTTCAGCCATATTCCATATAAATCAGGTATCATACAAAAATAAAAACAGCTTCAAATACAGTCATGACAATAAAAGAATATGACTTTAAGGACTTAACATCATTACTTCAGTTATAGTACACCAACATCTGTTATATTTTGGCACTAAGGGAACACTGAATGACCTGGTGGTTTTTGTCCATAAAACTACTCATCTAAGATTACCACAAAGTAAAAGATCTCTCAGCAAAATTATGCAACAATTTAGGCACACAATTGCCCCGATCAAATCAGTGAGCTGAGATTTTCTATTCTAAACATGAACTACTGTTACAGCAACAGACATGGACTACATGTCCCACACAACAACTCAATGTCCACTATGTGAAGGAGCCAAACACATGCCTTCTCCTCTCGTTAACTGAGATAAACTGCTGGCATATTTGTTTTACATCTATACTGTCCAATCTCTCCTGGTGGACATGGCATACAGCAGCATTGTTTAATCTCATTTGAGTCATTGTTAACCGTAGCCATCTTTTTAGTCTTCTGAGAGCACTGAAGCTTCTTTCAGCCTCAGTACCTGCGTTTTATCCTCAGATTAAAATTATTATTATGTGCTTGATGTGCCTCACCTTTGGCCCTGGCTCTTCCCCTCTGACTGCACTAGGACATATTGCCACCTGATAAAATAACACATTGATTCGTGCCATATAAAAAGTGAGACATGTCAATTCAGATTCTTTGTCAAATATACACTAATGAAACAATTTACATCAGCAGCCTAACAAGTGTCATGATAATAAATACTATTTAATCTACAGCACCAAATCATCAGTCAGTCACCTGTGACCTCACCTCTTCACCTCTGTCTGACCTACAACATGGCAGAGCTGCCTCTGTCACCTGATAAATAACAGTGAGACATTCCAAATACATGCAGTCACATATGTGCTTCAAATACAGTAATGAACCGTCCAATTTCACCTGTGATCTTGTATCACCATTACTCTCTGAGCTTTGTGTTGGTTCTTCTGTCACCTGACAAATAGGACATACATGACAATAAGAATAAAATGAGTAGCTGCTTCGGTGTTGTCAATTTGTGCAGATCTTGACTCATCAGTAATGTTTGTAGGGTGAGTGCATTTTTAAAACAATTTGTGCAAACGGCACTACAAGGTGCCACTACAAGACTACCTCATGACATTTTGTCTCAAAAATTAACCCTATGAATATGTCAGTACCATTAGGATGAAATTATTGTGTCACCAACATTTTAATGTTAGAAATATAATTTTAACAGCCTCTGTAAACTAATATCCTGGCTTGCTCAAAGCTGCCGTTTTCTCTGACAGTTTCAATCAAAATTAGAAATGCTACTCTAGGAGACTGAGATAACTAATAGTGCTGCCTGTTGTGCAGTTAGTTTCCAAAACACGTTATTCGTGGTTACATACAATTTTAGACTGATGTGGGCCAAAGCCTAGCATAGCCTGTAACGTTATTATGACGGACACATATTATGAGTTAATTTGGCTTTAAGTGACTTGCAGGTTTCTTTGAAAAATACTTATATCCAGGTTCTTCCTTTTTGCTGCCATCCTCCTCTCCTCCTCGCAGCGCAAGCAGTGTTGCCAACTCCTCAGTAAGGAAAATCGCTATTGGTTGTCCTAAAAGTCGCTAGAAGTCGCTAAATGACGTCATCGCCTAATTGGTCATGCTAATCTGTAACCTATGTTGTTGGAGAGAGAAATAACATCGTGGAAGAGACATAAAGTGAGTAAAAAACGTCCTAAATGCATTTAGAGTTTATTTAGAACTACAAATTAAATTTCTTTTAGCAATTATTGTTTTTTTTAATGTCACAATTCCACCCTGCTCCTTTACCTGGGCTTGGACCGGCAAAAGTGACCCGAAATAGGCACTCTGGTGGAGTTACTTTGTGTGTGTGTGTTTATAAGTAGTTTTAAACCTTGTGATCCACAAAACAGCATAAGAGTAAAGGAGTAAAAGAAGAACTGACTGCGTTACAGCACCCGCTGCTTGTTGAGAGTAAAAGTGATACGCGCTTTCACGTCTTTTTTTAGCGACTTTTTTTTTTAGAAAAAAAGTCGTTAAGGGGTCTGAAAACTCGCTAAATATAGCGACAAAGTCGCTAAGTTGGCAAAACTGAGCGCAGGCTTGCCGCTGGTAAAACTAAACAGAGCTCCCTGAAAGGCACAGCCAATCACATTGGCCATATTTGTCACATGAGGTAGGACTCCAGTAGAGGACGTAATTTAACTCTTTCTGCACCGCTGGGTGAATGAGACGTTGACAGATCGGGTTTTTTTTTCTTTCTATCGGGTTTGATTTTCTTTACTCGAATAGATCAAATTATTGGTGGGGACAATTCAATAATCGCTGAATATTGGTGGGGACATGTCCCTTCCGTCCATGCCAAATCTACGCCCTTGCATCACAAACACACAAAGATAAACTTGATTAAATAAAAACCTAAAATACAGAAGAAACCATTTCCACACTCTTTACCCTTAAGATAAGTTTACATTTTTTTTTTACAAACACTATAAACTAGTTCACGTACAGCGTGCGCGTGCGTCTGCCTCAGCCTGTGCCGCATTAAAAACACCTGCTCACCTTCTCAGCCTCTCGGAGTTGTAAACCACGAGTTGCCAGTCCGGTCTTCAGTTCATTGATGTCAACCCTGCCATCTTTATTCAAGTCCAGTTGCTCGAACAGCTCCGCATACCTCTTTTCTCTTTCTGGGTCCAGAGCTGCTCCGCTCTTTCCGTTCTCTGCATTTTCTCCGCGGCGTGAAGGGGCGCTGGAGCACTCCTCGTCTTCGCCCATATGAAATGGAGAAAACCGGGTTTTGGTGCTGATCGACAGATTGTTTCACAGCCAAGCATCAGAAACTAAGCAACCGCGCGTGTTTTTGCAGAGGAACTGGTACCATTGTCTTACATAGTAACGGATGAATGGAGAAGAACGGAGTCTGCAGAGACTAACGTTCCTTCCAGAAGGATGGATGCGGTTTGGACGAGCTTGATTAATCCCCGTGTCAGTTACATAGCCAGTCCTCCCCAGCACGCGCTAATCCATAAAGTCATTCAGCTGAATTTAAGTTTCCGTCATAGTAGAAGGTCGTAAATGAGTCGCTCATTCTACCGCAGTGTAGGCTTTTAGAAACACATCTGTGTGCGCGCCAGGAGCTTAACATCACCTCCTACTTGCACTTAAAAAATGGTACGAAAACCTCAAACCCACTTGAAGGGAGAGTGAGTAAAACGCAGTCTACCTCCGCAAATTCATCGTCCCCTGGGACTGACGGCACGCGCTCCTACTGCCTCAGCGTACGCGCGCGCTTACAGCAGTGCACGAGAGAAGTTCACCGAGTTCACGCGATTGTATTAGGTTTGCGATATTTTACAGGGAGCCAAATCAAATCAACAGCCAGCCTTCTTACAGTCTGGCGCGCTTCCATGTTTTACTGGGTGGTACAGAGGACCACGCTGTAACTGTGGGAAGCCTCCTCTGTACACATGTATATACGGGAAGGATATATACAGGAGAGCCGCACTAAAGCACAAAATATAGTCTGGTTTTGACAGCTGTTTAGCACTACCAATCAGCACAATAAAACATGATTATAATATTCAACACATCCTTTAAGTTTTAGGGAACACTGGGGATGGTTGTAAAAAGGGAGATGGCAGAAAAAGCATCACTTTCACTAAGAAGGAATTACATAAGAATCATGTAATCAGCTCAGTGTTTATTACAGGTTTATTCCAGACTATGCATGTGACAATGTGTGAAGAAGCATTCAAAATCTCTAACTTTCATCTAGGATAGTTTAAAAAAAAATTACGTGTTTTAATAAGTACTGATCATTAAGAGGTTTGTATTCAAGGAAAATGAGTGGTAGCGAATGAGCTTTTATTGCCTGCGACATGCAGTTACTAGCATTGTAACCCTCTACTGCAAAAAAACATCACGGAGGATCCCCTGCCCATCCTCACATAGCAACAAATTGATTATACATACTAACATAAGGATTGTTGTGGTATCAAAGTGGCACTACTGAAGTAGAACCATTTTGATTTTTTTTTTCAAACCAAGAATAAATTCTTATTTATTTACAGGTCCACTCTCCATAAGCAAATGCTTCGAGAAGCTGGTCAGGGACTTCATCTGCTCTGCACTACCCGACTCACTGGACCCTCTACAGTTCGCATACCGCCACAACAGGTCCACTGATGATGCCATAGCCCTGACACTACACACTGCCCTGTCACACCTGGAGAAGAGAGACACGTATGTGAGAATGCTGTTTGTAGATTACAGCTCAGCATTCAATACCATCGTTCCCTCGAAGCTGGACAGGAAACTGCAGGATCTAGGACTGAGCAGCTCCCTCTGCAGCTGGATCCTTAGCTTCCTGTCTGACAGACGCCAAGTGGTCAGACTGGGCAGCATCACCTCATCCCCCATCACACTGAACACTGGTGCTCCACAGGGGTGTGTACTGAGCCCTCTCCTGTACTCACTCTACACCTACGACTGCACAGCCACTAACAACTCCAACATCATTGTGAAGTTTGCGGACGACACTACAGTGGTGGGTCTTATCACCAATGGTGATGAGACGGCTTACAGGGAGGAGGTCAGCGCCCTGACCCACTGGTGTCAAGACAACCATCTCACCCTCAACGTCGCAAAGACAAAGGAGTTGATAGTGGACTTCCGGAGGTGCAGAGAAGTACACACCCCCATCACCATCAACGGCGCTGCTGTGGAGAGAGTGAGCAGCTTCCGGTTCCTTGGTGTACATCTGGCTGAGGATCTTACGTGGTCAGTACACACAAACAAAACAGTGAAGAAGGCGCAGCAGCGCCTCTTCTTTCTCAGGAGACTGAAAAGATTCGGCATGAGCCCCCGCATCCTCAGGACCTTCTATCACTGTGCCATTGAGAGCATCCTCACTGGATGCATCACCACCTGGTATGGCAACAGCACCGCCTACAACCGCAAAGCTCTCCAGCGAGTAGTGCGGTGCTCTGAACGGATAATTGGAGGTGAGCTTCCCTCCCTCCAAGACATCTACAGGAAGCGCTGCCTGAGGAAAGCGGGGAGGATCATCAAGGACTCCAGTCACCCCAGCCATAAACTGTTCAGACTGCTTCCATCAGGAAGGAGGTTCTGCAGCATCCGGTCCCGTACCAGCAGACTGAGAGACAGCTTCTTCCACCAGGCCATCAGACTGCTGAACACGTCATAGACACCTCAGCTTCACTACTGGAACTTTAACATTATGCACTCCATACTGTACAGTAATGCCACTGTTTTGCACATGTCTCAACTCTGTATATTTTTATATATTTTATTTATTGTTTACTCTATTTAATTTGTAAAATATGTGTCACACACACACACACACACACACACACACACGTAGAAAAATATTTAGTATACACATCCAGAAATGCATATACTATTATATATTGTACATATATTTATTAGTTTCAGATGTAGCCATTCTTGTATTTTGCTTGTTTACATTATTGTATTTTGCACAACTCTGTTGCTTGTGAAGCTCGCACACAAGAATTTCACTCACATGTGCTGTACCAATGTACCTGCACATGTGATGTGACAATAAAAGTGATTTGATTTGATTTGATTTGGTTTGAAAACTGCTCAGCCTGATCTACACTGTGGACTCCATTGTAATAAACTGGTGTACAGCTCAGTGTAAGTGGTGTTGAATGTTCACACACTATAGTCCCTGTCACTTTGGTGCTGGTCAACCACATCTGTTTCCCAGGTGGATGGTAGCAGAGCTCATGCATATGCTGGCACTTATTGATTCATTTCTGATTTGCATTCCTGCTCTCTTTCTGACTTTCACTGACAGCAGCACTGTCAGGAAACAATAGGTTGAGCAGAGATTGTAAGGTTGGCACAGTGGAATGAAGCAGGTACCCCATAAAGAATTGACCTGGGCTGAAGCCATTCTGAAGAGTATCCCAACAAGGCAATAGATCTGTGGCCTTTTTGTGGAGGTTTTTTCTGTACCTGCTCATTTATGAGAAGAGAAGAGAAGAGAAGAGAAGAGAACCTTTATTAGTCCCACACGTGGGAGATTTGTTTTGTCACAGCAGAAAGTGGACAGTGCAAAGTTATATAGCAAAAACTGGAGAACACTGGAATACAATAAGAATAATATACTGTACACAGCTGTACAGAATAGAATCGAAAAAATAAAATAAAATACTATATACAATAGAATAAAATAAAATATACAATAGGATAAAAATAGAATACAAATGCTATATACAACTGAGTAAAAATACAACTTTGTCAGAAAAAGAGTATTGCACTTAGTCTTATTCCACATGTGTGGATGTGTGTGTTTGATCAGCTGCAAAAGTCTTTGTTGTGGAGTCTGACAGCAGTTGGGAGGAAAGACCTGCTCCGTCCCACACCGTGGGTGCTGCAGCCTGCCACTGAAGGAGCTGCTCAGTGCTGTCAGAGTCTCCTGCATGGGCTGGGAGATGTTGTCCAACAGGGATGACAGCTTAGCCACCATTCTCCTGTCACTCACCACCTCCACTGGGTCCAGAGGGCATCCTAGAACACAGCTGGCCCTGCGGATCAGCCTGCTCAGTCTCTTCCTGTCCCCCGCAGGGATGCTGCCACCCCAGGAGACCACACTGTAAAAGATGGCTGAGGCCACCACAGAGTCATAGAAGGTCTTCAGGATTGGGCCCTTCACTCCAAAAGACCTGAGTATCCACAGCAGGTACAGCCTGCTCTGCCCTTTCCTGTATCTGAATTATGAGTCCAGTCCAGTTTATTGTTTAGATGAACACCAAGGTACCTGTAGCTTGTGTTTAGCCTCTTCATTAAAAGGAATGTTTGCATGATGAGGGCAAATTCTATGGCAAAAAAGAGCTTCAGCACAATAAGATGTATGCTTTTTGGAAAGAAATAGATTTTACTAACAGTAGTACAGTTGGTTTCAATAATGGCAAAATTATTCGACCTGAAGAAGTACAACTTGTTATAGAGAGGATGCCTCTAAAAAGCATGTGGTTTAGACCACTGGGAAGATATCTAGTAGTGTCTGAACAAGATGGAATATTGTCTCCTGCTCTATTCAGTCTGTATCTTAATGATCTTTCTGTCAAGTTAAATGCATGTAAGACTGGGTCTATTGAGGGTAACGTTATTGTTATTAATGTATGCTGATGATTTGGTCATTTTGTCTCCCTACAGTGCTGGTTTGCAGCACTTACTTAGAGTTTGTGCTAGGTATGGTGCCCAGTATTGCTTTTAACCCTAAAAAGAGTGTTATTGTGATTGCTCCAACTAAGGAGGATCACAAGCTAAATATTCCATCTTTTTATTTAACCAACCAAGTATTGAATGTGGGGAGCAAAGTGAAATACTTGGGTCATATCTTAAGAAATGATCTTTATGTTGATGATAATGTGAAACGGCAGTGCTGTAAGCTGTACATGCAAGCTAATATATTGGCACCTTCACAACATCTGCTTTCTGGTCATTCGCCCTGACAAGGACTTCAAGGACATGAAGTGCACGATGTGTGCTTCAGTCGAAGAGAACTGTCCTCTCTGAGATGTTCGCTCTGACTGTCCAGACAGGAAGTCCATTCTTTGCTCCACCTTTGCAGTAGAACTTCACTGAACTATGCAGTTCAGTCTTGTTAGTAGGTCAGGCATTTCTCTGGTTGCTGCTGTCTTGAATGGGTATGGCTTAACTCCAGTTTCTGGGAAAATGTTACAGAGGAATTTAACTTCCTTTGATGATATCTTACATTTTTCTATGCTTGGGAATACTGTATGCAGGTGAGAATCATGTTCTTTCTGTGAGAACCCCCAGATCAACACATTATCAATGTAATAATAATAATACTAATGGATTGCATTTATATAGCGCTTTTCAAGACCCTGAAAGCGCTTTACAATTCCACTATTCATTCACTCTCACATTCACACACTGGTGGAGGCAAGCTACAGTTGTAGCCACAGCTGCCCTGGGGCAGACTGACCCAGAAGCAAGGCTGCCATATCATGCCATCGGCCCCTCTGGCTATCACCAGTAGGTGGTAGGTGAAGTGTCTTGTCGAAGGACATAACAACCTAGACTGTCTGAGCCAGGGTTTGAACCAGCAACTTTCCGATTACAAGACGAACTGCCAACACTTGAGCCACGATTGCCCCATCTAGACCTTCAACAACAACTATCCTTTTATGGAAATAATAATAATGGATTGGATTTATATAGCGCTTTTCAAGACACCCAAAGCGCTTTACAATACCACCAATCATTCACTCTCACATTCATATCCATATCGCGCCATCGGCCCCTCTGGCCAACACCAGTAGGCAGGTAGGGTAGGGTAAAGTGTCTTGCCCAAGGACACAACAACCAGGACAGAG